AGCAGCGACAGCAAAGGCAGCACTGCGGACCCCCAAGTGCTCCCGCTGCCGTAACCATGGCTTCGTGGTGCCGGTGAAGGGCCATGCTGGCCACTGCCGCTGGAAGCTCTGCCTGTGCAACAAGTGCTCCCTCATCACCGAGCGCCAGAAGATCATGGCGGCCCAGAAGGCCCTGAGGCAGCAGGTGCCGGACCCCCTGGCTGGGGCAGAGGCAAGGCCTGCTCCCTTGGGAGAAGGCTCTGGGGTGGACACCGGGGCGGCCAGTGCCCCCGAACAGACTGGCCATGAGGGGGTGAAGGGCACCCAGCCCACTGGCAGCACTGGCAAAGGCAAGAGGCCGCCGCTATCTCCTAGTGGACCTCCCTTCTGGGATTACGGTAAGGGCCTGTCCCCAAAGCCTCTTCCCCTGTCCTGCCATCTTTCTTTCTGCTTTCATCTGCCTCTTTACCCCATCAAACAGTGCCACTTGTGCAGTTTGCACCTGCCTAATGCCTCAAGGGCACCCAGCCCACTGGCAGCACTGGCAAAGGCAAGAGGCCGCCGCTATCTCCTAGTGGACCTCCCTTCTGGGATTACGGTAAGGGCCTGTCCCCAAAGCCTCTTCCCCTGTCCTGCCATCTTTCTTTCTGCTTTCATCTGCCTCTTTACCCCATCAAACAGTGCCACTTGTGCAGTTTGCACCTGCCTAATGCCTCAGGCTCCAGCTCCCTGGAGAGCCTCTCTCCCTCTTATCCTTCTTCAGTGGACACAGGTACCCAACTTGCATCTGAATCTGCAACCCTGCATTCATTTTCCCTTTTGCAGGGTTTGCACCACAGCAGCAGGAGCAACGTGTGCAGCCTTGCTGCTCCTTGCAAAGCTGAAATTTAAGCAAGGGACTTTGAGAGGAAAATAAGTCTGGGAGGAAAAGCAAACTGTAGATCCGCTGTGCACTGCAGGTGCTCGTGCATGTTTCTCTGTGTGCTGTCTCACTGTTTATAAATACACAGGGACAAGCCTCTAGCAACAAAAATGCTAAAAAAACTCAGTGATGGCAGGTAAATGGGGAAGTTACTGCTGCAGTTGCCTGAAGCAAGCATTTTATGATAGCACTGTAAAAGAAAGAGACCTTTCGGCCTTAATTCCTGTAGCAAAGGCTGAAATTGGCTGGGATCACTTGGTATAAAAGTGCATTTGGTATTTAAGAGCAGAGCATAGATTTTGCAGGTGAACTGTTGTATGGTCTGTCACCTCTTTAAAATGCTTCCTTTATTAAAGGAAGTCTTTCATGTGACTTGTCTAGTTTATTACTATTTATTACAGTAACTTCATACTATTACTATTTACTATAGTAATTTTACAGAAATCCCTACTGACTGCAGCAGTCATTAGTCTGAGCCTCTGGAGAGTTGGCAGCCTGCAAGACAAAATGCTCTTTTGAGAAGCCCAGAGGAGAGTAATTTCAGACATCTCTAGTCCCCACCTAATCTGTAATAACTATTGCCCCTTTTTTTCAACTTTTTCCTAAGAAAATCATGTTTATGGATGATGCTAGCTGTACACTGATGCTGTCAGTTCTTTCCTTAATAACATTTTTAACGTGCTGACCAATTTAAAAGCAGGTTAGGGGCAAATAGTATAATTCTAGTACTCTGAAAATCGACCTATTCTTGAATCAAATTCTCCCACTTCACTACCAACAGAAGGATGTGCAGACAAGAAAGACCTTATTAGTATTCAAATAACCACTCTCTTTTTTTAAGACGTCAGAGAGGCCATATAAGATTCCCAATGCAAGATAGAAAACAAAGGAATGGATTCCTGTATGTGAAATTGCCTGTGCATGTCCCTGAAATTGAGCCCTAGTCTGTAAATTAACTTAAGAAATGACAGCTAGGAATATAGTTAGAACTGTATTATTTATGTAGATTCTTGTTTAAAGTTCTGCTAGAGTTAAAAGTCTGACGGCAGGTTGTTTTGCTGTTGCTGATATACTGAAAGAATAAGTTTATGCAGCCAGTACTTTACTAAGGACTAGCTTCACAATGCACAACACAGAGAAGAACACAGATTATTCTGTGTTACAGTATGATCTGCTGCACCTTTCCTTAGTTCCTTAAAAATAAATTCATGAGGAGCTAAGCATGAAACCAAAGGGCCACATTCTCCTGCCTGAGAGTGGAATTTGGTCCTGTAGCTACTTCTGCTGAACTCTACAGAATTACATGAATATTTTTCTTCATTCTTTTTTCATTGTTTCCTAGCTCACCCTGCTTTTCCTCCAGAATACATGGTCAACCCAGAATACCTGGAGAGAGAATCTCTGAAAGTGTACCCTAGTTGTTCTGGGGTATATCCTTACCACCCATTTCCCATGGGATTTGCTATCAACCAGGCAAGCTGTAGGGGAGCACCATCACCTCCAGCAATACCACTTCAGAGAGGTTTCCGACCCATTGCTAGCAACTATGGATCAGGGAATACAGCTTCTGTGTCAGTAAGTAGTGGTCTTGTAATTGCCTCTGGAAACACTGCTGTGTTTAATTTTAGCTGCCTTTTTGCTGTTAAAGTACCCATGAAAAGCAACCCTGATTATCGGTTACTTCACAGCGTTTTGATATATTATGCTCAAGAAAACATCAGCAAATGGTGATATTAAGAGTCTGACCCAAACCCAGAAGAGCAAACCCATGCATTTGTTAGGGGCCAGATTTTGTGAAGTGTTTTGGGGCTTTTATGTCCTGGTAACATCTGCAACAGCCTTTTGGAATGATGGCAGTTGGACACTTAATGTGGCCATGTTGTGCCAGTGTGGATGGCACAGAATGCGCATTGGGAGGTTCCTCTTCTTCCACGCAGGACAGATCTAATGGGGAGGGAGAGTGTTAGGGCTTGGCCAAGGCCCCACAGCAGCAAAGAACAACAGGGAAGAATCAGCTTTCACAAGGAAGCGAATCAGCATAGTTGGATATTTCTGTTTGAGACATTTGGTTTCTCAGAAACGGTGGAAAATTGTTGTAGTTAACAGAAGTTTCAGATGAAAAATGATGTTTAGCATCATAGAGCCCACACCTTTACACCACACAGACATGGTAAGAAACAAGATGCTATACTGCCTGTCAGTTGTAATGTTGTGTGTGAGCACTTCCAGTTCCTTTCTGTACTGTCAGTCACACTGGTTTAAACTGGTGGTGTCCAGTTTTTGTACCACAGCTGGGCACATTATCAGATTTCCAGCTGCCATAAGACATTCTGTCTGCACTGAGTACAATTCATCAGTTCATGGTAAGGTGGAGTATTTGCCTCAAGACTACCAGATATATTGTGCTGGCACAGAAATTCCCTGTCACATTCAGGGCTTACTGAGAAAGAGAGGGTCGCTAGCAGCAATCTGAGTCCTGGTGGGCTGGATATGCACAGGTTGGGAAACGCCTTGTCTAGACCATCACTGTATGTGGTTTTTGAACTTAATTTTTAACTGCCCTGAAGCAGATGGAAAGATCTCATACAAGCTCTATCTGTACCAGGGTGCATGGCCTGAGAAAAATATTCCCTCTGATGCTAGTGCTCCTGAGGGATGGAAATCTCTCCTTGCATATGGAATGGGTTGCATCATGCTCTAACAGGTCTGGTGATCACAGAAGAGCAGGGGCTGTGTACCAGCCCCTCTGGGTAGGTAGAGCCTCTCTCTTCACTGGGCACAGGGGAGGATCCATAACTATCAGGGAGCTGCTGGCAAGGAGCATTTTCCTAGATTGCCTCTCTGTTGCATGAAGAATTCTAGACATGTTCAGTAGGAAGCGCACCAGGTCAGTGGTGAAGGTGAGCTGCTCCTGGTTTAAACCAACTGCTCGAATGAGATACCAGAACAGAAGATGAGGACTTAGAAGGTCAGTTTCAGCTGAGGCATGGTCTGAGAAGCTGCTACTTCCAGTTTCAGCATGTTACACTACGCACAGGCTTTGCACGTGCACCAATGTGGCAGCGTATGGCCACAAAATGGACAAAAAAGGTAATATTCACAGGTAAAAACTGAAAGAGAAATTGACTGATGCTGCAGATATGTCTCGGAGAAAGTCTTTAGATGAATGATGCTTTGCTTAATGTGTTTCTGCAGATTCCAGATGGAAGTGGAGATTTCCATCAAGGATACTACACTCCTCTGCCTCAGTTCATCCCACCAGGTTTTCTGCCAGGGATTCATTACATTCCACCTCCGCTTTCACTGAACGTGTTGGCTGAAACAAGCAAGGAAGCACAAGGTAAGGAAGTACGAGATGAGCCCTGGGAGATTCAGTTTACTGAACTTACCCAGATACTGGTTTCAGTACCTAACCCCAGAGGTGGAAGCCTCGAGAGACACCAATTCTAGCTAGTTTTCAGGGTTTCACAGATCACTGTGATGGAGCCAGGACTGTGATCCTGAAGACAGACTACCAGTTTGTACAGCACCAGGCAGGGCTGACTTAGGGAAAGCAGCCTGACATTGGTTGGGCTTTCCAGCTGACAAGCACCTCAGTCTCATGCAGACATGGGAGGCCCCGGTACTCAGAGCCATTCCAAAATACGATCTGCTGATGTGCTCAGAATGAAAATGTTCTTCTAAATGGCTAGTTAGCAGGACATTATTTTAAAAATTATTTGGCTCTGTTGCAATTTAGGCAAAATGTTAAAAATTATGTGGACTAAAACTTAGCATGAACAATGTGACATTTCTTGCTTGTCTGAAAATCCTACATTTTAATTTCTGTAAATGAAAGAGTGAATTGTCAAAATCTCAAGTTGTTTTATCGACTCTCACAGGATTTGAAATTTCTGGGATAGGTTAAGTCTTTGTGACCCTCTCTTTTGGGTCTTTTTCATGTATTATGCCTACATGTGGCCATATTTGTGATTATATATTTGCAAGTTTTTCATTTGGCTGCAGCTAGCTGTGACCACAAGAGGGTAGAGCTGCTCAGAGAATTAACTACTAGCACTGGATGAGTAAACAGCCATTTTTGTTTTAAATTCTTTTGAAAATGCAGATAAATACAACTTTATTTCTCTTCTCCAACACAAGAATTAAAAAATGATAATCTGACTGTTTATGAAACAGATTACAATAATCACCAAGTGAAAAATCAAATCTCTTGTGTAAGAGGGAGGAGAAATAGAGGACTGTAATTATCTCATCTGAATTGAAAATATGTTGATGGTAGTTATGTGGGACAAAATATAAGTTGGGGGTTTTTTGGCCTGGTTTCTCGACAGCATAAGGCTTGTGCAGTCTCAATTTCTGTTAATGTCAGTCCTCTCATAACTTTTCAACCCATTAATTATTTTCAGCCCAAGTATCTGTTGTGGTCACAGGCCTACACCATATTGATCTGCAAGAGAAACAGATGCCTCCCACAAAATGGTTAGTTTCCAGCCGTGTGGTGGTGTTTGGCTGGCTGTCAGCTTGTACTCAATTCCTAACCAACGTGTGTGTACCTTGGCCAACAACCAAGGGCCTGCCAGTCAGCCCAGCAGTGGGCACGTCTTCAGAGCAGAGAGGACAAAAGATCTGGGGGATACTGCAGTGGCAGAGAACCTGTAGGGAGCTGCAGCTATTCTGCTGGAGTGTGCAGGAATGGGAAGGAACTGGGAGTAACAGACAAACATGGGGGACATGGAGAGATGTAGTGGTATTGCATGAGGAAAACAGGGGAAATCCAGTACTGTATTGGTAGAGTGACGTTGTACTGGCCAAACAGTCATGAAAGCAGGCAACTGGATAGAGAAGGGAGGTCATGGGAGCACCTCCCCAGAGAGCACAATGCCATCTAATGACCTCAGCCCTTATTACACTCTAGGGAAATCACTATCCAGGCACAAAGCCATAGGAAACAATGCATCATGCATTGTACTGCTCAGAGAAAATCCACTTTTCTTTGTACTGCAGAGAAAGTACATATTAATTGCACTACATAGCATTTGTGCTTCAGGATATGTAGGAATGTGCAATTGTGACCCAGTGAGGGGTGATACTTCTGCATGAGATCATATACAAAACAGCCTGCCAGCAGAAGATGCAGATGTAGAGGGAAGATACAGTGAAACTAGTAATTCTTTGATTCTGGTATTCAAGATGCTTGAAAAAAAGAGAAAAACTGTAATGTTTAGTGCATAGGGATGTGCTAGGATTGCATCATATCTTTTTTCCCAAGAAAGGAACTAACTCAAGCATGCAGTTAGACTTGGGAACATCCTTTCTCAAGAGAGACCGCCAGAATTAAGGTGAAATGGGCTTTCTGGCAAAACTGCTGGAGGAAAAGGGATATAGAAGACTCTAGCAGGGGACGAATGGTGAGAACAACTGTCTGTGATCTCTGCCCCAAAGGGAGTCTGAGATGAAGACAAATTAAAATTAAAAAATTCTGTCTGAAAAAGATTTTCCAAGGGTAGAAGCTGCTGCCAGAAAGGTTTGAGTCAATAGTTGACTGCAGTTGAATGACTGAGGTTTACAACGGTGATGTGAAGTGTAGGCCGTGTTGTTACACAACTCCATGCAGTACTGACTAGTAATGTTATGGAGATTTGACAAAATAAACACAAGATATGTCCAGCAAAACACCCAGTACAGCATCTGAGAGTCTGAGTGCAGATTGTTGGCTTTCTAAAAGAACAAGCCACAGAAAAGCAAACAAAACCCCAAGTTGCCTGTGAGGAAATGAGGGAGCTTTTCATGCAAACTGGCAAATAAATGCTTTATAAAATGAAAATCCCTGTTTGGATTTGAAGAAGGGATTATTTAGTCTGTGCATGCCTTTGAGAATTCACAGGAGTGTTAAAAAGGCATGGCACAGATTCACTGTGGTTAAGTGGGCAAAAGAGTCTGCCTCATACTTCTCTTCCTGTGCAGCTTCAACACTTGCCACCCTAAAGCACTCTTGCTACATTTCTTGAAGCATGGCTGAAACAAGCAACTGCTGTCTGAAGTGCAGCATCTCAGTTCCGAGAGCTACAGCTCTTGATATCAAGAACCTTTTAATTAAGTGGGTTGAAAAGCAAAACAGATTGACAAAAGTAATTTTGCGTTGAGAATTTACCTCTGGAAATGTGATTGATACCAGGTGTAATGCAAACTGAAACACAGGGTTTGGGGTTTTTGGGTCGTTTGTGTTTAACTCCGACCTTCTTCTATTCTTCATTTTTTTTCAGCTGAAGCTGACAGCCAGGATCCCGGGGTGGTTCATGAACCTGACCAGCCATCATCTTCCCCGGAAGAAACAAGCAGAGACCAATCTGTATATTCTAAACAGTAAATGGGCTGGAGAAGAGCTGAGTAGCAGGCAGTGCTGTTTTCATTTCTGAGGAGAATGTTAGTTAATACCAGGGTGGAGTGACAGCCACTGAGCCATCACAACAGCTAGAAAGGGATTAGTACCCTGCCTCATTTTAAGATCACGTTAGAGCTACCAGACTCACAGCTCTTACTCCCTAGCACTGTAAAGCCCTTGTTCCTAAAAGAGATTTTCCAGAGCCGTGGTAAATCCCTTCCCCCTCAGGCAGGTGGAAGCAGGAAATTATTATGACTCTGAATGTGTTTCCTTTGCTGAGATTAGATGGCTCCCTGACTTTGGAGTGAGGTCTCTGAGCCACGTACATTCTGTAGCCTTCTCATGTTCATGACTAGTCAAAAATGTGTTGTTGTATATCAGCTTGCTATAAAGGAAACCTAGTTCTGAATATTATGGAAGAGTTAAGTGATGCGGAGCCTGAAGACTGAGTGAGAGAGGAGAGGAAGACCTCTGGGTTGCTGATTTACTCGGCTGCCTAAGAACAGGA